CACTAGTTCAACATTTAAATGTGTCGTCTTGCTTTCTTTGACATTAATATCATGCTTTTGTTTGTACATGAAATAGAAGCTACAACTGGCAGCTCGTTAGCCTAGCATGTAGACTGAAAACAAGCTCAGAGAATAACTCAGTGTCTTCATTATTCATCAAACCACATAAAACATGATTGTTGACAGTGGAGGTGAATGACCTTCTCTTGTTTCCAGGGTTTGTGCTAAACTAAGCTAACTGACTGCTGGCAGTAGCTTCATTATATACAGGACAAACGTTATCTAACTTTTTCAAGCAGCTATTAGCCGTGTATTCAGTTTTGGACTCTCTTAGTACTGAGTGCTCGTCACATTTTTTTAATGCTATATATATATTTCTTTTTTAAGTATTGCTTTGTTTTCTTGTGGGGAACAGGGACATGGAAAGACTGGGATGTAGCACACGACATCTAGCACCCATCACTCATGAACTGTGTGTAGAAATTTGAAGCAGCAGTAAATGATCCGTCAGCAGCTAATTAGCTGACTCTGAGTGTGCTTTGGCCAAATTCAGATAAATGTTGTGGAGACAATGAAGGGGTCGTGCCTTCTAACCAGCATTTTAATGAATTGTGAACTGTGCGCACCGGTTGAGGAGCTGCTTTTACAAGTGTGTCATGTTTAATAGTTGTTTTTATTTAAAAACAGCTGACAAAGAGGTTATTTACAGGATATCTGCCGTCATAACTGAACTGCCTGTTTATTGAACACAGATGTAACATTTTTGTAAAACTGAAATGCTTTTGGAAAAACCACCATACACACCATAAAACATACCTGCCATGAAACACGGTGGCAGGCAGCTGTGGGGCTTTCCCAGGGCCACAGGGTACGAGGCAGGGGGCTGTGTTTCTGCTTGGGAAATGGCTGTAATGAGCTTCATTTGATCAATGTCAGTATTTGCTTAGAATGTATATTTTTTGAGAAATGTGTGTGTGTGTTTGTGAGGCGCATACGTAGGAGGCTTGTCTTTCACTCAGAATAAATAAAACATGCCAAAAATATTGCGAGTTTTGTTTTTTGTTAATTTTAAAATATGTGCTGAATCTGTGCACGATTTTCAAAACTGTGAATCCCTCTGAAGCGAATGCAAAGTTCAGAATTTACTGTTGTGAATGAGTAATAATATTTTTCTTTCTTACTGTGTCTTTGTTTTCTGCTGATCCTGGATCAGGCAGGTCTCAACAAGCCTCTTTTGGTCACTGAGTAAATCAGGCGTTTCTTTTCTTTTCACCCTTTGAATCCTCAGAGGTTTGTGGGAAAACTGAGACACGAGACTGTTTGGTGGGTCGAGAGCTTGTTTTTGTTATCAGTAACAACACGACAAACCATCGTTGCTTTGCTGAGGAAAAGCAGTTAAAAACATGACGTGCATTTTCTGTGCTCCAGGTATAAACCACATGGCCATCACAAAGAAATCCTCAGCGATGTGTTTTTGTGTTCTTTCTTGTGCATATTTTGAGTATTTTCAGACTAAATACCTGGACTTGTATCTGCCTATTTGCTGCAAAACAGCAGTTTTTCTCATATGAAACTTGGTGATACACTTGAAGTTACAGGACAATCTATTCCACAAGAAGGATTTTCCCACCTGCAATATGCATAATGGAAATTATTCATTCTTTTTCAATTCAGTGTGGGTGTGTTCATGGTGAACTTTGGGTGGATGTCTGGGCGTCAGCTCAAAAAGCATCATGTCAGCTCCAGTCATGTTAGAGCCTGTCTTTCAGTAAGTGGATGTCTTTGCTTTAAGCTTCCTGTCATCGGATCTTGCATGACTTATTTTCATTGGCAAC